TATATTTTTAACTCTTTCAAATTTCTCTGACATTACGCGTCGAACGAAATCATTCAATTTCATGTCACTAACATAATTAACACTTTGCTGTCGGGAGACTGAGATTTGCAGTCCGAAGCATACTTGACAGAACTGTAAATTATTTCAGTTTTACAGGATGCACGTGACTTCCTCGCAATAACAAATATCTCTTTAACCCATTTTTGCCGGAATTTCTTTTCTCTTGCTTTCTCGCTGCAGCAGTTGTTTGACGATGTAAAAAGACAGAGTTTTTATAAATTTATCGAAACCCGTCAGCAAAGTGCAAGTGTTGATGTAAGATTCTCTCTCTTTCTCTCTCTTCCTCACCGAAAACGTTCTTCGTTGAATTCTCTCCGTGAACAGTTGTTGCAAGAAGCACTCCCAGTGAGAGCACAATCGTTGGCATACACCGCATCTCGATATCCGGATCTCCTTTCGTTCTCGATTTCTTTACTGTTCATGATAGATCGAGTCCTCTGCTGGCATCGTTCGTTTTCTGAAACGGTAACATTGTGCGTTGCAACTCGACCGTCTAAACGTATGCCTGCTGTAACTTTCAATTTCAAAACGAAGCACACAAATGTTATTGAGTATCGAAATGTAGCAAATGTGATAATTAGTTAACTGATCGTGATTTCTTAGTCGTTATCGACATTATCCGAAAGAATTATTTTTGAATATTTATCATATAGAACACTAAAATGGTTATATGCGTGAGAAATTGTCACAAATTTTACATCAATTGGTCAAATGAGCGCTACTGTAAAACAGACTTTGTAAAATCTTTATAAAGAATATGGAGGACCTGTTGATGTTGATGTTGTACACGTTACAGTACAATCTATTGATCAACCAGAAGATAATTAGTCTCTGTCAAATGGTCGTTAGCACCTGTTCCAGTAGATATAAATACCACACAAATATCCAAGTAAACCACTTTTACCAGCTACTGCAGGAAATGAAGGAGTAGGTGAAGTAATAGCTGTTGGATCTAACATGTGAAACATGTAAATGTTGGTGATAGAGTTATACAAAATGGTATACATTTAGGAACATGGAGGACACATGCAAATTATACTGCAGAAGAGCCTATGAAAGTTTTCCAAAAGAAGTTGATGCTGTAGAAGCTAATATGTTAAATGTAAATCCATACACTGCATACAGAATGATTAAGAATTTTGTACAACTAAAACCTGGTGATACTGTCATCCAAAATGGAGGAAATTCAAGTTGTTGGACAAATGATTATACAATTATGTAAAATATGGATTAAACAAATCTGTTAGCGTTGTAAGAAACATATAGAGGGCAAATATAGAAGCATTAAAGATGAAATTCTTACCGAAAGTGAAATAAAGAAAAGTCAGATTTTTAAACGTTAAAAAGTTACCTTCACCAAAATTAGCTGTTAATTGCATATGTAGACAAAATGCATTGGAGATTTAAGACATTTAGCACACGGACAAGTTAACTTATGGTAACTTATAGAGGTAGAGGTAACTTTAACAGTTCCAACTTCTGCATTTATATTTAAGGATATAAGATATTAAAAGGATTTTGGATGACAGCATGGACAGAAACAAACATATTTGGCGAATTAGAGACATTATTCAAGAATAAGAAATTAAAAGCTCCACCACACAAGTTAGTTCCATGTTGTCAGTATCAGGAAGCTGTTATTAATGCAATTCATACAGATGGTCGAACAGAAGTGAAATACATTTTGGATATGACTAAATCATAAAGCACACTTGGGGGAGGAAAAACTTTCTTACAAAGTTGAAAGAGCTTTCGATGATAAGCGGAAGATCTGGTAAGAGTTCAGGGTTCGGTTCTTTTCGGAGGAAAAATGGAAATGATGGGGAAAGAGTGAGGATGAAGAATGATCTCGGTCGATGATCGAGAATAGGTCTGATTGATAATTGAAGCTGATCGACATGGCATATCGGTTATGGCAGTAGCAGCGTACGCGTAGCAGCACGGCTGTCGGTTAGCAGCTGGCAATTCGCAGGTTGCCCGTTTTAATTGGATTCACCGATGGAAAATGAAGACAAAGAGGGTTAGGGAATGCGCACGGGGCCCTGGATGGGTATGCGTGCAACAAGTAGAGTACGATCAATACGAGCGTGCCGCAGGAAGGAAGAGCATG